ATATCTACGCTAGGTACACACAAAAAATTAAGGCAAGAATCATCACCAAATGCTCAAACCAAATTCAACAAAACAAGATATCAACCATGGCCATTTTAATATCAATTAAAATTCAAAAAATGCAAATAAAATCAAAAATGTATGAATTCTTAATATTTTTAATCTACAAAATTCTAGATTCAATCATGAATCAGGGGAAAAAAGTTTGGAATTAATTGAGTTAATTTCCTATTTTTTATGAATTAATTTCTGAGTCATATGAAATAAAGAAAATTAAAAGAAAATAAATGAAATTAATAAACAAGCGTGTCAAATAGCAATCCAACTTAGTTCATTTCAAAGAATTGGGCCAAAGGGGGTGTGGATATCATTCTGAATGCTAAGCCCAAAACTAATCAATTAATGAAACGGTGCGTTTCATTCTAATGTCTCTCTTCAGCGCTGAGATCAAATCGTGGCCCTCCAATGCACGCCTAAGTCCAAGGTCAAACCCTAATCTGAGGGCTCTTGTTCATCGTCCCTAAGTTTGAACTAAAATGGAGGGAGTTCTCAGACGGTGGCCTGAACAGTGGCGCCACCGTCTTCTCCGGTGAGACAACCTCCACAGTTCACCAAAACTCACAAAACAAATCAATATTTCACTCCAAATTTGATGCTGATCAAGAATATCAACTCCAAATCATCTAATTCCCTCTAGATTTTCAAACTCGATAGCATTTTCAGAATTCCTCCAAATCTTGATTTTCACCATTCTTAAAATTAAAGGTATCAAGTTAATCCTCACTCTTCACTGATCAATTTCCACTATCCCATCGTGATTATTCCTTCAAGAATCTTGAGATATCAACCTCAACAGAAAATGATCACACACCTATCTTGTCTCTAATTCACCAATTTCTGATCCTAAATCCAACTACATGTTGCAAGGATCCTAACCACATATGAATTGCTAAGTATCTCCTCCTAAATCATGCATAAGGGTGAAATGTACAAACCTGGTTTCAGAGAGGTAACAGAGGTGGTTTTTGCTCACTTCAACTGCCGAGATGATGCAGACACACTCCAAATTCACTCCCAAAGCCTTTGCACACCCTGATTTGGCTTGATTCTCCCTTGAATTGAAAACCCGATTTCAACTTGCACCTTCAAAATTTCAATGCCTCTTTCTGCAACCAGCTTCAATTCCTTCCCAAAAAAAAATGGCTGAGTTCACTCAATGGCTTATATAGAAGTGATTGGGATTGTCTAGAAACTTCTGGATTCATCCAAATGAGATTTTGGATTTTCAAAATCTCTTCAAAATCTGATCCATGGCAATCACTATTCTGACTCCCTCTTGACATGGCTATGTGTATAATCAAGTTCTCATGAGATTTTGAATGAGTTTGATAAGTTATCTTCCTTGTTTGCAAGCCAAAGGTATGAATTGGATATGTTGCTTCATCATGAAGAAATGAAATGGAATGTTATGCAAATGACCTCAAATCAAAATTATAACATTGCTATTGTTTCTAAAATCATTTTTCCAATCAATTTGACCTATAATTTTGTTTCATTTGGCCACAAAATGAATTATTTGAATTTTTGGCCATTAAATCCTTTTAATTCTTTCTTTTTTCAAAATTTCTTGAACCAAGTCTCTCCTTGAGCCATTTCAATGCCTCCTTGATGCATGGTAAAGGTTAAAACCCCATTTTGAGCAACTTTCTAGTTGAAAACAATTTCATTTGAGACCTCTAAGTTGGTGAAAATGGCCTGTGATCACAAATGACCTATAATCACCAAATGTCCAAAATACCCTTAACTTGTCAAAGCCATAACTTGAATTCTACAAATCCTATCAAGGACTTCTAGTACTCTATAGAAAGCTAAGAGGATAAGGAACAACATTCATGTTGATCAAAAGTTCATAGGAATCATCCTTCTAGGGCAAACGTTTCATGCAAGTTGGGTAACTTTCAAGCTCCAAATTCACATGCCTCAGATGACTTGTAACTTGTCAAAGCCATAACTTGAGTTCTACAAATCCTATCAAGGACTTATAGCACTCAAATTGAAGCTAAGACCATGCTCTACAACAATCATGTTAGGGTCAAGATGATATGACAATCATATCTTGAGTTAAATTGCCTTGAAGACATGGGTCAAACTAGGGGATTTTACACTGTCAAGCCTTAGAAACCCTAGCTTGCAACTTCTCAAACTCTTCAATCATGATGAGTTGATCTTGGAATCATCCTTATAACATCTCAATGTATCAATCCATGATCACGTGGCTCTTGGATTAGATCTCAACCTTCTCCAAATCATCAGTTGACTTAGGGTTGACCCAGTCAAACCCTAGCTGCACCAATCATGGCTGAGCATTCTTAATCTTGCACAATGACCTGTCTAGGCCTCAAAGTGATCTTCAAGACTTCTCATGAGCTCTCTGAAGACCTCAAGTCCATCTCCATGACCTCAGAATCATCTGATGGCTTCCCACAACTCTCAAGTTAGGAGACACACACTCTTGGCTTCAACCACTCTCTTTGAGGATCTTTCAACTTCTCTGACAAGGATATCAACCCTTGAGCACCTGAACAACCTTCTTAGATAGCTTCATAGTCTTGTATAGCTCTTAATTGGTAATCATACCTCTTGATCTCCTGCACACATGTCAATGAAATGCAAATGATAATGCTAATGTGAATGAAATGAAACACAAGCTAGGTAAAGAAATGTTGGTCAAATTTTTGGGTGCAACATCAACTTCTAGTGTCAAATCTCCGTCCAAGAGAGAAACAACTAAAAATGCTTACTTGGTATGAAAAGCATCTATTGTTATTCCTTACCAAAAATATCAGAGTTAATATTCCTCTTACCATTTTTAACAACTTAAAGCAAATGATAATCATCTCTAGGGAGGAAATGACTTTTGTCATACCATATGAAAGAGTTTTTCTGAACTTTTCTCTAAGTTAGAGATAGTTAATAATGATACTACTGAAGTTGAGTGGAGTCAAAAATTTGAATACTTGAAATAATTGTTTGTTGTTCTGTTTTTAATTAATAAAATAATTTCTTTCATATTATTGCCTATACATTTTAAATGAAGAAAAAAAATTAACTAAGCAAAAAAAAGGAAAGATTGGAAGACGACAAATGAGAAATCATTGAAAAAAACTTTAAATGCAGTTACAAGGATTCGAAGTGTGTTCCTTTATAGTTATATACCTTCGATTTTCAAAAACACCGAGGTAATAGGTTTATTATGTTTTTTATGGAGAAAATTTGGCGCTCACTTATAGCTATATTACCTCAATTTTGTATAAAACCGAGAGAAAAATTGTTTTCTTTTTTAAAATAATCAAACATTTCGCTCCCATGACCTATACGCTCAACTTTTGGCATGTTCGAGGTGAAAATGTTGTCATAAAAAGTGTTATTTGTCGTAGTGTGACTTACCTGGTACCTTTCTTGTTGGATTTCAATTCATTGCCTAGTTGACGAACACGATCTTTCATGTGCGCGTTGAAGTATTTGTGAATTCTATCCCAAACTTCAAAGACATGCTTGTAAGAGAGAACACGAGGAAGAAAACATTCAGAAATCGTGGAGTGTAACCAAATGAGAACAACTTGATCTCAAACGATCCACTATTCATATTTGTGAAGAGTGGATGAATGAGGGATAGACAACGCCGTGAGTAGTGGCGGTTGACGAACGCTGTCATCTGGTGTAGTTGGTAGAACATTGGAAGATGATTCCGTGGAGGCTCAACGACGAAGAAGATAAGGAGAGAGAAATTTAGTTAATTAACATAATTTTGGTAGGGAAGAAAGAGAAAACAGAAGAGATCGAATTGACAATTGATACCATGATAAAATGTGATTCTCACGTATTCATTTAATCTCTCTCAAACCTATTTATAGCAACAACAAAAATGCAGGATGGAAGGTGCAAAATTTAATTATTGATTATATATGTATGTGCATACATTAACATATATCAATAGCTCTGAATATATGACGCCATCTGTAAGTTCCTACCAAGGACACTTACTGTAAAAATCATATATTAAGCTATTGATTAACTTGAATTACAAATCTTTGAAATTCACCACCGAGCTTTGATTTATCCCAAGGAAAGGGTAAAGAACAAAAAAACCCTAATTGCATTGTAAAAACAATGCGGGAGATCTAAGGTTCGGAGGTTGGTTATACTTCGGGAAGGTGTTAGCTTCCTAAGCATCTGTAGTACTCTACAGGAGCATCTTGTTAGTATTAGTGTTATTTGTTATTTGATATTTGCTTAAAGGTATAAAAGGAGACCTAAGGATTTATTTCTATGTATGCTCGTCAAGATATCGCATCTCGTGCCTACGTATCTTGACGGGAATGAAATCAGAAAATTCGTAGTTCCCCTCAATAAGGGTGAAGAACTCTTGACTATGGTCATGGTTCCAAGGAGGAAGTAAGTCCATCGTTACTTGAACCTTTTCTTGAATTAGCATAGATATTTTTATTTAGGAAAAAAAATAAAAAGACAGGGAGACATAAAGTTATTGGTTTGATTACTTTGTCGCTTTAGACAATTTAAAAGGTGAATGAATGATCAAAATAGTCTATTGTAAAGTTCGTTTATATATATATATATATATATATATATATATATATATATATATATATATATATATATATATATATATATATATATATATATATATATATATATATATATATATATATATATATATATATATATATATATATATATATATATATATATATATATATATATATATATATATATATATATATATATATATATATATATATATATATATTTTGCTGATGTAATCCCTTACATCACTTCTTGTCCACTGTCTTGATAGGGAAAGCAGCATCTGGATTCTTAGCTGAAAATATTTCATTAATTTTCCAAAGTACCTTAAGACTCAATCTTTTAAACAAAAATTCTACATAGATGTTAAAGCCATAGAAAATTGAAGTGCATCAATGGTTACAAATCACGAAGAGGTGAAGCTTTTGGGGGCTATAGGAAGCGCATTTGTGTGTAGGGTTCAGATTGCTCTTAAGTTGAAGGGAATTGAATACAAATTTGTTCAAGAAAACTTGGCCAACAAAAGTGATCTTCTCCTCAAATACAACCCAGTTTATAAAAAGATTCCGGTTTTTGTTCACAATGAGAAGCCCGTATCAGAGTCTCTGGTGATTCTTGAATACATTGATGAGACCTGGAAACAAAATCCTATCTTGCCTTTTGAACCATATCAAAGAGCCTTGGCTCGGTTTTGGTCCAAGTTCATCGACGAAAAGGTAAAAATGGTGAGTTTTAAATTGCGGTCGTGTGTGCTGATTAGTTTCTTACTGTAAAATTAAATTTTTGAAATGATCAGATTGTGTCTGCTTCTATTAAAGCTGTTCATATCATTGATGATGATAAAGAGCGTGAGAAGAATGTTGCTGAAACATCTGATTCTCTTCGGTTTCTTGAGAATGAGTTGAAGGACAAGTTCTTTGGGGGAGAAGAGATTGGTTTTGTGGATATTGCTGCTGTGTTCATAGCTTTTTGGATCCCTTTGATTCAAGACGTAACAGGGTTGCAATTGTTTACTGCTGAAAAGTTTCCAAAGCTTTACAAATGGAGTCAAGAATTTCTCAACCATCCAATTGTTAAGCAGTGTTTGCCTCCTAGAGACCCTGTTTTTGCCTATTTCAAAGCTCACTATGATAGCCTCATTGCTTCGAAATAGACACAGAATTGCTAGTTTTTGAACTATAATTATCTGTAGTTGAGTTTTTGCTGTTAGGGTTTCATTTCATAGTCATAGTTTGTATCTCATATTTCTCCATGTGAAATCTAAGGATATCCATATTGTTTTCATTTAACGGGTATTTCTCTATCTTAACTAATGGTTAAGAAACTTGAAGTAAGCTATAACCATACAGTAAACATAAAAGATATAAATTAGTGACACACAAACATGGATACTGACACAACAGAGACATGGACACTAACATGTCCATAGTGATAAGTATTTAACAAATAAAGTAACATAGTTAAATGTTAGATATGTTGGTATTTTGTCATGTCAGTGTCACAGTGAAATGTGGCAGTGGTACAATATAGAGTATATAGCACAAGTGTTTATCATTAAGTGCTTATGTATATGATTTGTAACAATTTGGAGTGCACTTTGATTGTCACAATAGAGATTGAAGGTCACAATCATTGAGGTAAATAGAAAAACCATTGAGGTATTCGGCTTTGGAAGAAGAGAAGGAAACAGTAGATTCCTTCTTGGATTTCTAAGAAACCAAAGAGAAGCAACATGCTGAGATAGAGCGATAAAAATTAACACATCCACCCCATTTGGGCATCTCTAAATCCCAAAAGCATACTAGAAGACAAATGAAAGAGCAATCAATGGCCAGGGGAGTGTTTTAAACGGAGAGCAGACAGATAATGAAAATCAGTAGGAGAACTCATAGTGATTTTAAAAAACGGTCTGTTATAGCAAAAAAGGGAGCATCAAAACGGTATCGGTTCTGATACCAATACCATAATACCGTTCTATAATGTTTTTGTAATAAAAAATAAATTGTAGTTAATTCACACCGCAACGACCGTAATCAGTATTTGCAACATCTGTACCCACGAAAATCACAAAAGCCTTTACGTGACCGCAATGTAAACAATATTTACAACCTTCTCATAATCACTAAGGTAGGCTGGCTAAACATAACCAAAGTAGAGGTCATGGTTTTAAATTGCGGTCCGCAATCACAATTGCACCTGCAATATTGCGGATGCGGTTGCATCCACAACCGCATCGGACCGAGATTGCGGTGTGATTTTAAAATTACGCCTCCAGTTATATTTAGAACCACATCACACAATTTCAATCATGTATTTTCATGTATTTTCATCAAAAATCAAAATATTAGAATCCTAAAACTCAATTTACCTCTTATTATGTAATGAAAAAACTTAACATTAAGTATTTTTCAACATTGTATTTCAAATACCTCCCTATAAAAATTCACATCGCAAAGGCCGCAATGCGCATCGTAACACCCGCAATGATCGCAACCGAAGCACCCACAACCGCAGCCGCAACTTAAAACCATGGTAGAGGTATGGTAAAGTCATCCAAACAGGTGTTATATGGCATTACCGTCTTACAACGATTAATGGTCAAGGATTACATATCTAACAAGAAACCAATATTCAATTAATTATTCTTTCATGAAAATTATTGTGTTCCAAAATGGAATGTAGGAAATTATTCTCTCAAGGAGTTAATACTCTCAACTGAAAACAACATTGTAGGATCTTTATGACACATGAGAAGTCAAAGTACATTCCATTTGAACAGAAATACAAACAACGAAAAACTCCACAAGGACAAGGGAAAGTAATCATACAAATTTATTTACAAGTCCAAATCTCGCCCTAGATTAATCTATTTTGATGGAGCAGCAAGGCTTGCAGCGCGAGCTTTGAAATACGCATATTGTTGATCTTTTGACGGCATAATTTCCTTGACTACTGGATGGTTGCAAAAATCTCGACTCCACTTGTGTAGCTTGGGAAATTTGTCACTGGAAAACAACTGTTTCTCTGCTACTTCTTGAAATAAAGGGATAAAGAGAGCAGCAATATCCACAAAACCAATCTCCTCTCCTCCAAAGAACTTGTCCTTAAGCTCATTCTCAAGAAACTGCAATGCCTCGAATAATTCTTCTCTAGCCTTCTCCTGTTCTTTCTCATTAGGGATAAAAATAGTTTTCGCTGCCGGAACCACACACTGAATTCACAAATTAAAATTATATGTTATTAGAAAATAAATTAAGACAGACAAAGTTTAAATGGAGTTATATGGAAAGTTAGTTCTAGAATGGATCTTATGTGATTCATGTTAGATCATGATTTTAAATTGCGATTTACAACTGTAACTGCAGCTGCTGACGCAGTAGTCTCTGCAGCCACATCAGACAGCAATCTGTGTGTCATTTAAAATCATGCATCCAACCGCCTTACAAACCGCATCAAACAGTTTTGCCCGTATTTCTTCAAGTATACTCATTAAAACTCAAAATTTCAGAATCCAAAACTCAATTTACTTTTGATGTAATATGCATGGCAACTACGGCAGGACCACAATTGCATCATCCACAAACACGTTAACGGCCAATCAGTAACAAATTCATAGCTAATCACATAACTATCACATCATAACAATAACAATATATTTTCAAACAAGGAATGAAATGGATTACCTTATCATCTATAAATTTTGACCAGAAACGATCCAAAGCTCTTTTGTAAGGATCAGAAGGCAAGATTGGATTTTGTTTCCATGTCTCATCAATATACTCAAGAATCACACGAGACTCTGAGATGGGTTTCCCATTATGAACCAAAACAGGAACCATCCTATAAACTGGGTTATAATTGAGCAGTTTTTCACTCAAATTACCCAATTTTTCTTCCTCATATTTGTATTCAATTCCCTTCAATTTCAGAGCAATTTGAACCTTAATCACAAATGGGCTTCCCACAGAACCCAAAAGCTCCAATTCCTCAATAGCAGCCATTGCAAATCTTCAATTCTCAAATGTGTTTGATTTTATCAAGCAATTTGGTTGCTTTTTAAAGTAAGACTAATGATTTGATTTGATACATTCAGATATTAAGAAAAAGGAGAAGATTCTGTCAAACAAAAGTGGAAAATAATTGCAGCGTGATGTAAGAGATCACATCTGTAATAATATTATAAATAAAAAATTCTAGAATATGTTGTAGTTGTTACTTGTATCAATTATTGAGGAATTCGTTTTTTTTTTAATGTAAAAATAATATTTTCTTAATTAAATTTTTTTTTTGAAATTATGGATTGATTTTATTAAAAATTAATTATTCATTGTGTTTTTTCAATATAAACTTTTTGTTTGTAGTATCAACTTTTAATAAAACCAATGCACAATTTCTAATTTTTCTTTTTTACATTTAATTTTTAACTGGACACATATTAACATTATTAGTATAACTTAATTTCTAACATAAAAAACCTTAGTTACTCAATTTTATACAACAAAAGGACAATAAAAAATTGTTAGTGTATTCAAATCAAATAAAAAAATTACTTTATTTTCTTTCCCCTAGTCTGTGGTCTCCCATCGCTCCTACGCGAGAAACGTGAGATAAGATTTTTTTAGGCAGAAAAGAAGTTCAAGTCATTAACTGACCTACAACTCCCTTAAAAATAGGGATTCAACTGTCTACCATTGACTGAGTGGACAATGACCATTTTCAAGAATACCCTAGATTCTTGAGGCCTCGATAAATACATATCCTCTAAAAGCGAAAAGTGATATACCCTAAGCGATACATATTCTCTACACCCTAAAGAGCACAACGCTCATTACAGTCTTAACACACGACTATCTGTAACTACACGCTTGCTACCAAGCATCACCGGTCATCATCAAAGTCTCTCATCTCATGTGAGCATGTCTCCTAAACAACCTCAAAATACCACCATAGAGGAATTCTTGTCATTTTGGGCCAGCTCTAACCACCACATCATGCTATAAAGCTACTAAGGCTTTTGAGTCTCTCTGTCCTTGTAGTGGGAACATGTACACCTATACTTCATGTCTTTATTTTCTTCTCGGGGTCTTGCATTTTCTCGATTCATCGCACCCTCAGAGTTATTCTCTATCTTAATCTTTTTCTCAAGCTTTAGCTTTTTCATTTACCATTTCTCTCCTTATTATTGCTTGCTACTTTTTCCTTCATTGATTTTACATTGCTGATATGGGAGACGACCCTGCAAATGTTTTTCTTTTACATATCTAGTGATGCAAGTGACACTTCATCTCGCACTAAAACAATAAACCCTAAAATTCCAAATGTCGTCTCTTTAGCAGTTAATCAATCCATTGCAAACTTCATTGTTCTTAGCGATATTTATAGAGCTAGTGGAGATTCTATTAAACACTCAAAACATGGAGGAAGCTTACAGAGATATGGGAATGTCCTCTAATTGGTTTATTTTCCATGTCGACCTTGATAAAAGAATATGTAGCTCCTTCAAGGCGTGATTCATACCTTTCTGTGAATTTTTATTTTACAAGTTAATATTCAAGTTGCTTCTTAACACCTTCGAGGAAGGGGTGTTAAACCACTTGAGAATTTCCCCCTATCAATCACACCATGTAGCATGGGCATTTGTCAAATTGTTTCAGTATTGGTGTGAATAACGGGGAAAGCTATTGACCTTGAAATAATTATTTCATATCTTCAATGTGATGCATACTCTAAAAAGTGGACATCGTGGACATGGGTTATTCTCACTTCATAGCCATTAAAGATATTTGACGTCGACCTTAAGAATAGGGAAAACTTCAAGGACCATTACTTTTTGGTGACACCACAAAGTTACGAGGCTCAATCTTCTATTTGGATCCTTCTAGAAGGAGGTCATTCCCTGTCTTACCCCCTTGTCTGGAGTCGGAGAAATGTAAAGACAAGGTTCAAAAAGGATGGGCCTACAACCATTTCTTTCCTACTCCAAAAGCATACGCCTACGCCTCTGATTCTTAATGCCTAGAGGAGGAGTCATTTAATGATGAATTAATCGCCTTCTAGGAGAGTTTAGGTTATAAAGAGGGAGGTAACACTTTGAATGTGACGCCCTTACAACATAAAAAGTGATATATTAATAAACATTTGGTTATGGAAGTGGCCAATTCTCTCAACAAAACATATCTTTTATGTGAGGAAAGGGAACTATATTTATGTTTGTCATTATTATTTATAAAACATCTCACCTAATTTTATTCTTTATTTTGTTTTCACATAACATGGGTCTGCTTGGGAATATCTGTAAAGTCTCATCAATAATCTCTAAAGCCATGAGATAGACCTCAATGGAGATGAATATGTCAGGAGGACAAAGCCTCTTGCTTTGAAATATGTTGCTAGAACTGCAAAGGCTCCTCAAGTATGGGAGTTTGATGAAACTTCTCAAGTAGAAGATTCTAAAGATGACTCAGATGATGAGGTAATGGTCTTCATCATTAGAAGATTTCAGCATCTGATTAGTAAGAACAATTTTTTGTGTGGCAAAAGCAGTGACTTCAGAGGATCTGACTCTAGAGAAAAGAAGGATGATCATAAATGATGCTTCAATTGTAAGAAGCTTGGTTACTTTAGTGTTGTATGTCCTGAAATACAAAAGGACAAGCCAAAGAAGGGAAGCTTTCAAAAGGATATCTTCAAGAACAGATTCAAGTTTAGGCTTCTTCAACTCTGCTTGGACTTTAAGCTCTTCTAAGGATGACAAAGTCTCTTTAAGCTGCTTCTCACTTCTGCACCTGTGAGTTGATTACTTTATGACCTCCCTCTCTTTACCCTCGAGCTGCAGCTTCAACTTTTCAATCTGGTAGTGGAGTTCATCTTCTTTCATTTTATGAGAAGTCACGGTGGCGTTCCATTGACTGTTGAACTTTAAAATCTCAAGGCGGGCTTTGTCTAAGTCTTTCTTTCTCTGTTGTAATAGGTTCTTGGAACTTTTCAAATCCTTGTCTATCCGCTCTCTGTTCTTGACTTCTTCTTCTAGTTTCTTCTCTTTCTTGGCTAGCAGCTCTATCTTCCCCTTGGATACATGGGCTGCTTCGTTCTTATCATGCCCCAATCGAGATGCCTCCCTCTTCAATTCTTCATTCTCTTTGTGAAGCTCTTCTTTCTCGACCCAGAGCTTATTTTACCTCTCTACATACATAATATTAGATTGTTCAATCTTTAATGGGTACAAAGGTGCTTCGACAGAGAAAGGTAGCAACCCTTCTTCAACCCTCTGATGAATCGACTCCAAGTAGGAAGCATAGGCTCTACAATCACTCTTGCCCAAATAAGTCTTTCCCTTCCTATGGATCTTATCCCATGCGTCCACAACTCTTTTCATCAATTATGAATTTGTTGTCCTAGTGAAGAATAAAGACTCTTGAACATCCTTATCTTTTGTTGGCTCCCTCAAGAGGTATCCAAATTGTCTAACAGCTAGAGAAGGATTATAGTTAATACCCCATTTTCTCCCTACCAGAGGCACATTCCGGAAGTCTCCGCAGCTAAAGATAATCTCCTTACCAAGTAAACCAAGTAACCAGCTAAATATTGAACCATGATTCCTTTGGAGTTATACCCATCAATCTTTTAGACCACTCGGAAGATTTCCTAGAATCAACAAAAGCTCCAGTGCGAGAAAGATGATCCATAAACCATTTGTGAAGGAGTGGTGCACAACAGGAAACCAACCGTCCTCTTCTTTTCTTATTCTTATAGTGCATAAAATCATATAGGTGCCCCAAGAAAGTAGGCACAAGATTCTTCATAATAAAGAGACAAACAAAATTCATATCCACAAAGTCATCCATATTGGGAAATAAGACGATGCCATAGACGCACAAAGCCAAAATAGAGTTGAAAACCACCCAACTACCTGCTTCATCATACTTCTGAGCTTCACTCACCACGAAATCTAGATGAAACCCTGAAAATCCTCCCTTGATAGAAATATTGTCCACCAATATAGATATGCTCAAATAAAGAGCAGCGACAACGTCGTCGAGATCAGGATTCTCCTTGGAATAATAGAAAGGAACCTTATCCCTGATAGGAGCTCCCAAGATGAATACATACTCTTCTAACGTTTGAACCAAATGATAATCCAAAAAAGTGAAACATCCCAACAGAGGATCATAGAACTGTAGAAAAGTGTTGATGGCCTTATACTCGTACTCAGTAATAGTATGCACAAAAATCAGAATCCTCCCATAATCCTTCCTGAAGTCTTCAAGAATGCTAGAATCTGCTAGAGCAACTAAACGAATAAGTGAGTTAAATCCAGGAGCAGGGAACTTGTAAACGATGATCTTCTTCCTACTAGTGTCCATCTCTACAGACCTCTGACGACATGAATCAAAGATAAGACGCAAGCCCGGGAAATACACAAACATGAATGTTAGGATGCAAAAATGATGCTATGTAATGCAAACATGGGATTAAGGTTTCCATATGCTCTGGATAGCTGCTGCACTATCGTCTGAATAAGGCTTAAAATTATGCTCTGACTCGAATACCAGTAAACCAGGATAACCATAATACCTAGATTCAAAAGTTCACACCGATAAGAAAACCAGAAAACCGGGTAGGTTAAAAGTCAAGGTTTCCTGCAAAACCCATCCCCTCTCACATGTGGGTTCTAGTCTTTGACACAAGCATCCTAGCAGGTCCTCAGTCTCACGGGCTCTCAGTTCGAGAAATGATGTTACGTTCACCATTTCTGGTTTGGCATCATCATCAATTAAGGAGGCCTAAACTGATTTTCGATGAATGGTCTCTAGAATCATAAGCTCTCGAAGTCAACACCCTATCATCTGCACCAGACGCGCAGGATAGAATATCTCCAAAGAAAACCTCGTCTGAATATGGATTTCATGTTAACTAAACATGGATAGATGCCATGCAAGCCACATTACTCTCCACTCTAATCCTAAGTGTACACTAAAGCCTGGGTAGTGGGTTTATCTCT